TGTGCCTCAGGGCTCAGCTGAGGTCAGGGGCGCCTCGGAAGGTCAACCCAGTGGGCTTGTTCAGAACCAGCAGCGAGACACAAACCAGAGCAAACGGGTGGAACCTACAGGGTAGTGCTTTTAAAACACAGAACAGGGGCCACTTCTTTACACAAAGAGTAGCGGGAGTGTTGAACAAGATGCCCTGATTTCTGTCAGTACACAGCTAGATGAGGTACTGGGATCAGTGAGCTGCTATCTAACAGGCCAGGTGGGCTGACCAGCTCCTCTCGTCTGTGATCTGTCTTCTGTTCTGTTTTTTTTTAAAGCACTTACAGGTTTTGCAAAGCAGAAAAACTTGGCTGTGTGAAGCTTTCTAGTTTTCTGTTTCATTGTGCCTGATGTGTGAGGTCGCTCTGCTGCCTCTGACCACCTCTCTCTCTCCCTGCCCCCAGTGCCTACCGCCTGTGATGTCATCACCTGTGGTGCCCTGCCTCCTGTGTGTGGCGCTGTGCTCTCTGCTGCCCCCTCTGGCCAGCGCCTCTGCTGTACCGTGCGACACCTGTCGCCAGCTCACCGCCAGCTTCCTGCGGGTAAAGGACTGACTTCCTCTGCGTGTCTCTGTCTCTCTCCCTGTCCCTCTCTCCCTGTCCCTCTCTCCCTGTCCCGGTCCCTGCCTTTGTCCCTGTCTCTCTTCCTGTCCCTCTCTCCCTCTCCCTGTCCCTGCCTTTGTCCCTGTCTCTCTTCCTGTCCCTCTCTCCCTCTCCCGGTCCCTGCCTATTTCCCTGTCTCTCTTCCTGTCCCTCTCTCCCTCTCCTGGTCCCTGCCTATTTCCCTGTCTCTCTTCCTGTCCCTCTCTCCCTCTCCCGGTCCCTACCTGTGTCCCTGTCTCTCTCTCCCTCTCCTGGTCCCTCTCCCTGTCCCTGCCTGTGTCCTTGTCTCTCTTACTGTGAAACTGTTCTGTCTCGTCAGCCACAGATCTTCTGTTTCAGGGGAACTTCATGCTCCAGCAGCTCAGTATTCACTCCAGGTTTGTGACAGAGTTAGTGAAGTAGTCGCCTGTCCTCTCCCACACCTCCAGTCTGTCCTGGGACGCTCCTCCGCGGTCAGGAACTGCACTTGACCAGCAGCCACAGGAGACGGACGGATTCGAGCCACTGCCACCCACGGGCAGTGTCCACTCCTGTTTCCCGCAGGCTGACCGGTCCAGTGTGCGCCTGCCTGATGGCCCCAGTGCCTCTGGGTCCATCAGCGGGACGAAACACCTCGTTGGTCTGGGAGTGGACAGAGGAAGCTGTCTAGGGGTCAGTCCAGGTGCTCAGCTCAGACTGCCCCTCGGCTTCCAGTCAGCATCGCTGTTCCTTTTCCAGACACAGATTCACCACAGAGCCTCACTGTTTCAAACGCTGGAAGCTCGTTAGAGACTTGTA